TTCTACTGTACAGATTGGAACTACTACCAGGGACAAAGGAGTCCAACTGCTATGTGTGCAGCACTCCTGGCAACACTGGTGCCCTATCTGTCAAGTTGGAGTTCATGAATGTTGTGAAGACCAGTTTTCACACCCTGGATATATTCAGCGTCGTGGGGTCAAGATACAAAAATGACAGTTTTGTGAACATGATAGGATTCTATGTAATGTTGAGAATGCCTGTAAAGTAAGTAGAAATGTTTGCCTTTATTCCTCTCTGTTCATTTTTTTCACCATGTACTTTATCAGTTTTGAATTCTGCTTTGTTGTGTTTTACGAAGTTTGTCTTTTTCCTTCTGCCTGTATCAGTTTTGCACTTTATGAACAAAATACGAGTAATGAACAAAATACGAGTAATGAACCCCTGACACTAGAGATTTCTGGACAGCTTGGTTTCTTTACAATCCATTGACACAAAACAAACTTGGATTTGAAGTCATCTGAATGAATTAGGGGGTATCTCAAATGAGTCACCCGTATAAAATGGCGGCCATCTTGGATTTCTTGGTATCCATGACAACAATAATTATCAAAATTTTATTCAAATGTGTTTTGCTCCTATTTGTTCATCCAATTACCTTTCAGAAAATATATGGTTAGGGAGGTTCTAAATCTCAAATAAAACCCAGAAAATCAATCTGAAAACAGACACCTGTGTTCACCTCAAATGCCTGTGAACGTTTTAAAGTTTACCATGGACAGTAATAGGGATAAGCCAACGGAAGAACAACGAATAGATTATTTTTAGGCCTATATGAGCCATTGCCAAAACGTGGGGAAAAACACACACATCTCACAATAGTGTGCATAAAATGTGATGCATTAGTATTTATTCCTCCAAAACGTATACACACGTCAAATATAGGATGTAGAACCTGCATTAGCAGTTTCAGACCCCATGTCAGCTTTACGATCTTGAGTTTGTAAATTTTGTGCCAAAAATGTTCGTTTTTTAGTGATTCCTGGACTGTCATTTTTTTAAGAAAGGTTAACTTGCTCAAGAAATCGGTTTATTTGTTTGCAAATAGACGAACAATTCGGATTACTTGTGCGTCTGTCGTGTCGTCACGGACTAGATGTTTCAGAAAACACCATTATTTTTCAGTAGAATCACCGTAGCTGGTTAAATCTCTTTGCCTATCGTCGTTTATTCAATACTTCAAAAGCCGCGAAGCGCGAAAGGAACATCGGGTTCCTAGATCTACGATTTCGGTCGGCTGTTGAACATTCGCCGTTATTGTCGTCAATTTGCGAATTTCGCCCACTTTTGTTTTGAACAGGTCATCAAAAGTGCCCGGATATAATTGTTTTCTTGAGTGACTTCCCCTTCCCCGCGTCCCCAGAACAACGGAAGCAACGGGGGAAACAGGAAAACGAAAGTAGTCATTGCCTTCAGCGTCCGGTGACGCACAAGAATTTTGCGTTGAATGTGACGTACTGGGCTGTTTTGCGTGTTTTTAGGCTACTCTGTTGAATATTTTAGTGAAATTGCGGTCTTTACACTGGATTCCTGGAACAAGAGTGTGATGTGTGAACAAACTTCGAGAGATGGATCATTTCTGTGGTTATAGACTTAGCTTTTGTGCTCAGTGATGACGTTTGGGGTGTCGTCATGCAGCCATACAAGACTGACTAACGTACAAGAAATTACATTGTCCTAAGAGCAAACATTTTTAAAGTAATGTGTGCTCTCTTTACTCAAACAAATAAACAAACATGTCCTTGTTTATCTGTCTAACTCAAAAATACACATTTGTTCTTTGTTGGTATGATATACCTTTTTCCAATACATTGTGTCATTGTGTCATCATTGTTATGTACAAGTAATATTTTTCATAATTGCTAATATCAATAAGTTTTCAACATATATTTCATACATGCAAGATTCATTTAGAAGCAAAATACGCCTTTATTGATCCGTGTATCTCTTAGTGCAAATTTGTTCTTTGTAGGCATGATTTTACCTTTTCCCAGTATGTTTTGTCATCACTGTTATGTACGAGTACTGTTTGTCATAATTAGCCACATAATTGTGATCGTCCACTGTCTTTGATATGACCTGGTATCTGTTTCAAAGCAAAAGAAACCTCTCCTGGGTATTTTTTAATTCTTAAAGTGCGCTTTTATCTCTGGAGGCAAGACTATTGTCTTTTCCTGTACATTATGTCATCATTGTTATGTACAAGTCATGTTTGTCATCACTGTTATGTACAAGTCAGCTCCATTGATTTTGTGCTTTTGCCTCATATTAGTTTAAAAATTGTTTCACACATGTGTTTTTCTGGTACTGAGGCTTTGATAACTGTATTTGTACAGCCTTTCACTATTGTGATGTGTTGTCAATGATAATGTCCAATGTGTATCCTTTCTTGTACATAACAATGATGACATGTTCTGTGCACTGCGTCATTGTTACAAAGCTTGCCATTCATATTACCATTATGAATGGAGTTCATAGTGTACAAAGTCTTTGTTTACTAAACAAATGGAATTTAAAGTCTATAATTTGCCTTGCTGCTTTTTGTCATCACTGTTACATACAAGAAATACAGTAGTTGCCAAACCAATAGACCCATATCTCCAAAACCGTACATCTCCTTGCTCTGATACTCTAGGAATATGAGCACTAAATGTCAATCTGTGACTGACAGAAAAGAGAGTCAAATTTGTAAGAAAATTTTTTTTGCACCACTGAGTCTCAAGAGAGTCTCACGTTTTGGCAATTGCTCATATGCCATAACTGTTACAGTAATCAGGCCATGAGAGACTTCAAAAAAAGATCCAGTCCGAACGCTCCTTTGACGTCGGCAACGTTCACAGGACTATGCCCAACCATCGACGAAAATGTCACCTTGACGTTGAAAACTCGGGGGCTCATTACAATGAAGTAGAGTATAACAACGAATTTGCGATTACAGTGCTCTGTTAACCATTTAATGGAATCCAAAATTGTTTGTGCGGTTGCATAGAAATCTGCAAGTCTTGCGATGCATTCGCTGCTAAATGCACGGGAACGATATTAGTTGGTGTAGGGGTGGTCCTATCCTACTTCAGTTGTGTACCTCGGACAACTAAAACTAACCGTGGTAGAATTTGGCTTGGGACCGCTGAAAACCTGGCAAGCCAGCGTCCCTAAACAGCGGAAGTTGATCCCCCTGAAATTAAAAGCGAGAAAGTAAACAATTGGGGCAGCCTCACCCACATGCGGCTAAACGTAGAACGACGCATTTGCCTGATTCTGATTGGATGCTTATATTTTAGTAATGTGATGTCATCACATCCTGGGATACCCAGATTATTTTTAGAAGACTGTGGAGATATAACAAAGATTTTGTATTATTTATAACTACACTACACTACACTGTCTACACGATCTTTAGAGATACTGCATGGAACGACATGTCGGGTCAGTGGCTCTACCTATTATCCCTATCGATGTGTTTCGCACGATACAATTTCACACTTGCCGCTAACTGCAGCACGTCAGCCATGCTCTGGTGATGGAAGATCGCTGAGATCGTGGATGCTCAGTTTTAAAGAACGCTGATCATGCTTGAAATTAACAGTGTAAACACAAGGAAGTGGCTATTCTCATCCGCGGTGAGAATAGAAATACGATCGACCTCTCACCCCGGGTGAGACTTGCGGCCGTAGGCTATTCTCACCCGGTTTGAAACAAGACCTGTTTTTCCTCATTTCGGAATACTTTCTATCGATGTGGATGATCAAATTGATAAAAGCCAAGAAAAAATTACGTTATAGCACAAAAGTAA